TGCTTTGCTCCTCTTTCCTTTTGGCTTCACGTTTTCTTCAGCCTCCTTTGCTTCAGCCTCCTTGGCTTTGCTCCTCTTTCCTTTTGGCTTCACGTTTTCTTCAGCCTCCTCTGCTTCAGCCTTCTTGGCTTTGCTCCTCTTTCCTTTTGGCTTCACGTCTTCTTCAATGTCCTCTGCTTCAGCCTCCTTTGCTTTGCTCCTCTTTCCTTTTGGCTTCGGATCCTCTTCAGCCTCCTCTGCTTCAGCCTTCTTTGCTCTGCTACTGCTACTCCTTCCTTTTGGCTTTGCATTCTCCTCCTCGTCCTCAGATTCTTTTGGCGCAATTTTCTTCTTGGGTCTGCCTTTGCTTTTTGGCTTGGGTTTGACAGGATGTTCCTCTTCTGACCCATCCTTTTTTTCTTTCTTCGTGCTGAAGTTTTGATCTTCACGGGTGATGAATGGAATAGTTGCCCAACCAGGTGGCTTCTCATAGACAGAAGTCTTGGCCGTTTCACCTTCACTTTGCTTTGGCTCCTCCTTCTTTTCCTCTTCACTTTGCTTTGGCTCTTCCTCCTTCTTTTCCTCTCCACTTTGCGTTGGCTCTTCCTTTTTTTTCTCTTCCATGTGCTTGTCAGCTGGACCTCGAACTTCACCAGCCAAGCCCGCATCTGCCTTCTCTGGAAGTTCCATAGCAGCATCGTCCTCATTGGCCGCAGCTAACCCATAGTTGTCATCAATGGAGTGCACCTCCACTGTGGGATCCCCACCAACATCCCACAGCTGCGTCTCCACAGCGTCTCCACCTCAGAGCTTCCATGATGAACAAAGGTAGAGCCATGACAAAACACTAGCTTTCAAGTATACAATTATGTTTAAGGCAGCCAGAGAACATGCTTGGAGAAGTTCCGCTTCTTCTTTCTTTCCTGCCTTCTCAGCCAGATCTTGTAGTGCAACTAACTTGGCCAGCTGCTGCTCCAGCTCATGCAGCAAACGAAGCTTCCTAGCCACAAACTCGGCCTTCTGGTTTTCCTTGGATGTAGGTGGCAGATACCCCAGAAAGAACCCCCTACAGTTGATCCCCCACCAAATAAAAGACTTATAGCTCTATACAATATCAAGGGTCCGTCATAGGATTTGGCGGTGTCAATGAAGGCGTGTTTACACCTGCGAAAATGGTAAATAACTCAGTGATTTAAAGGCTGCAAACTGACAAGCTGTTGCCCAGCCTGATCGGGGGAGTGGAGTTTCAATCACGGTAGGTGAGATTGGCGAGAAGACTGGATCCTCTTGCTGCATCAGGCCCGCTGAATCCTGGGCGACATGTTTCTAATTTTTACCATGTAGTTGACTGGCTTTTGTGATACTACATGGGTGCATATATTGTTGGTTGGTACACATGGCAGTTTTGCAAACAGTCTTGGAGCCACACCTTTGGAAGCTTTGGAAGAAGCCCTGCTTTGTGAACAGTCGAGTCACCTCACATGTATGTAGCGCATGCAATATGCATCGAGTATGCTATGCACACTTTACTCAGAAACATTATTTATAAGCATCTAAGTTCATTCCAGGGCACCTCCAGAAGTGGGAGCTTCAGCTTCAGCGACACACTGCTGGTCAAAAGAAACGACACCTGGGTCGGTCCTTGCACAACGTGTATCACCTGAACATTCATTGCCATCTCTCACCTCAGCAGACTCTAGAGTCAATTTTCCCATTTCTCGGCTTAAACCATCCTCAAAATCATTGGGCTTCTGTTCAAGGGCATCCCCCTTAACATCAGGTTTCTCATCGGCCTTTACCTCAGGATTTTCACCATCATGTTGTTTCACCGCCCCCTCATGTTCACTGTCAAGCTCTTCCTCCACCTCCTCGTCTACGGTTTCCTCCTCAGACTCCTCCCCCCTCCTCCTCACCACAATCTTCATCCTCAAGGGTGTTTGAAGACCTGGTGCGCTCAGGAAACTCGTGGTCCAAGGCCTTGAGTAGGGAACGGATCTCCGGCTCGCGGGGTATGTCCTCACGACGGATGACATCGTTCAAAATCGTAATGCACCTCCGGATCATCCAGCCTTGAAGACTGCTCACCCCACCTTAGCAAAATTTACATGGCTCATAAATAATTCGGTTGAGACCCTACATGAACGTTCGTGAACATTGCACATGTTTAAGTGCAGCTAGCTGGCCTCCAACAGAAGCATCCAACATTTCATAGAATGCTTGAACATGCAAGGCACATGTGTCAACAGACACCCTGTAGCCCAACTCTTCCACTGCCAGTTTGATCACCATAATGTTCTTCGACAGGGTCTCACGCGTGACCTTTTTTCCTGTACTGACTACCTGAGAAGCGCATGCACTTACAGTAGGTGGAAAGCAGGGAGGTATATTGCACATATATATTGGTCATGCATCAAAAGACTAATTGGTTGATGAGAGGCGAGTTGGTGTCGGACTCCCCGGCGTCTGAGCTCAGGGACACCCTCCCATTTTTCAGCCAAGCGTGTCGCCATAGCTAGCTAGCTAGATGTTGTTGAAAGTTCTGCACATGTGCCACATGTGTAACGCGTGCTCAGGAAACTTTGTGGCATGAGGGTGGGTCAGCACATGGATGCCTGATACGATCCGTCATGTTTGAGAAGTGCTTCAGTCTTTTTGCCAGAGCCTTGATTTGCAGGCGGGTGATCAACCAGATCCTGCTCAATGACTGGAATGCACTTCTCACATACAAAGAACACTTACCAGCACATCCAAAAAACAGGTGGGCGCACCAACCACACAGCAAAGAGGCTTCCAGTGTCATGAGCTGGAAAGTAGGTGAATTAAAGCCAAAAGGCTGCACAAGGCAGTCTGGATGCTGAAGTACTCTGAAAACATATGATTTTCAAAACTCCGGGAACTTCCAGGAGTTTCCCAAAAAAGAGGGAAAAGCAGTGAACTCCGCAGTCAACGTGTTTTTTCAAGTAGTTGGAAGGTCCAGGTATACATGTGCATATTGTGTTTGTAACATCTGATGATATTAAATTGAAACGCTATTCTTAGTGGTACTCTGCTCCTCCTCCTCCTCATCAGGTGCTCCAGGCTCTTCAACATTGATTGGAGCTTCAGGCTCTGGCCGAAGGAGTGGTGCTGACAGCGATGGGTCGAAAAGAAACCTTGGATTTGGACATTCGGCCCCTAGGACATGGGTGTGTATAGAATCGCTGCAAACCCTATAGTGATGCCAGAAACTTCTTGAATAAGGAGATGCCAGTTCTTTTGGATAAGCAATAAGCGCAACTACCCCAAAACCTTCTTTGGACAAGCCACTTGTTGGCCCAAACCTGTATGGCATTGTTCTTCGCATGACTAGTCACAAGAAAGGCACCACTGGGGCTGAAGCAAAGTCCCAGCGCTGGCTGTGCAAAAAGGAAGGAATCGATGCACCGCGCCGCAGGGAGGTCAAAAATCCGTAGTCCCCCGTCGCACACGGCCGCCGCCAGCCATCGGCCGTCCGGCGCAAAGGCCAGGTCGGTGGCTGGCACACCACACCTCAAGTGCAAAGCAGTTCTCCTTGGGAGAAACAAGGGCATCCCTACTAATAACACGGGTATTACTACTAGTAGCAAGAAGCTACTAGTAGTTCCTGGCATTACTACTAGGAACAAGAAGCTACTAGCAACAAGGGCATCGCTACTAGTAAGCATGTAACAAATAGACAAATGAAGGCGCTAGTAACGCTAGACGCTAGTCAGGAGAAATCAAGTGATGGTCGTTTCTCTCGAATGTGGATGAAGGTGGTGCCCGTTCTTTCTTGCATTGCGGAAGGTCAATGGTACGTCAGTCATTTCATCAGAAGAGCTCCCTTGTCGAGGTTTTGCTTCTCAGCCAGGACACTGGAAGGAGCGGACGATCGACTTGCTGTTCAAGTCTACGATGGCTAAAGTCCCATCATCCAAGCCGCAGGCCACCAGAACGCCGAAGTGCTTCACAATGAGACAGCTCGGGCCTCGTTGGCCCAAGGGAATGCTCTCCAAAGCTTCCTGCACAGCTCAAGTGGAGCCTCAAAACATGCTGGAAATGGGGAAAGCGTCCCTCCTGAATTTATGAATTTAGTGCATCTAAACAACAGCAACCCGATAGTCAAAACATGTCAAAACAAAAAACTCGGGATACATCCGGAGACCGGGCTCAGGACAAAAATCCCTAAAATGCAAGTTTGCCAGGAAGTCGAGAGCCGGTCTTACAGCATTGACGTCTGAAGGACACTCCAAACATTCATGAATTCCCTTTGTGCCACACGTTGCTTCCCGTCCAAAGTAGGAAAGGAAGGCCCCCTGGTCGCCAATGTCTTGATTTTTGATGTTTGGGGTGCAGTAGTTCCCCCGAGTTTGGTGTGCTCTGGTCATTCTCTCCCGACCAGCCATCTCACGCGGGTCTCCTGTGTGCTGAGCTTCCAAAGTCTCAGGCAACAGTCCTTGGGATAGACCGCAGGACACACTTTTAGCTTTTAGCCCCTGCTGCCCAATGTCTGCACGCCACAGACTCGGTCAAACCGGAAACCAGCATCAGTCTCCCTATTGGCTCCAAACTGTTGGAGAAAAGAGCCATGATCATGCTGCGTAGCTGTCTTGGAGTGAAAGCTCTTCCAATTGGTCCCCACAAAAGTTCATTTCTGCTGGTCAGTAGCTGCTTGGTCCAATACAAACTGGGTCTCATGGAATAAAGCACCGGTAAATCGCGTCCTAATCAAATGTACTGCAACAGTCAACCAACATGATACTGATAAGTATATTGTGATAAGAGCATATTATATATATATAAATACTAACTTCAGCTCGCTTGCTGACTTCATGATCAACTTTGCAATGTCCCTGAGCTCTTTCAACTCACTTTTGTTTTGTCAGCATTCGTTGGGTTGAGTGGCACGAAAATCTGCCACATAGACTCTAGACCCCTAATGATGAGTGGAAACATCACAAGTCCTGCATGTAGCCTCGCACTTCCACATATACGTGTCGGATGCATGGTGCACCTCAAATTCTGCTTTTTGGTCACGGCCTTGCCGCTGAGGCTCCTTGGGATGTGAGGCAGCTGAGGCCACCTGTCCCGAGCTGGTGATGATCACTCCGCACACACGCCCCAAATGCGCCAATGGCGGGCCCGGAGGGGCCTTGGCCATCGCCGGGCGCTTCGGGACCTGCAAGGCTTCATGGCTTCACTTCGCTTCGTGGCGCCACGAAAGTTTCGCACAGATCTGAGTTGAAGTGATTTGAGTCGCAACGAACATTTGAACAGCGCATGGGACCTATTATATGGCCTATGGCATCTATGGACATGCTACCCGAAACATTGAAGAAATCTGGTTGAAAAAAAAACACTTACCACCTTTATAATGCCCTTGCACTCTTTTTGCAACTTTTTATATAACGCACATCTGTTCAACACCCCGCCTTTACCCCAAAGGAGTCTGGATCCTGCTGTCCAACAGCTACTATGGGGATAGTGCCACGGTGCAATCCCGACTGCAAGTTGAACTTGTGCAAGGCCCCATTCTCCAAACCCAAAATGCAATAGTTGCCGCACGTGCTCACTGCCACCGCTGAGACCGGGCTCTTCCCACTTAGCTCGCCAGGTGGAATCAGCACTGTCGTGGACAGGGCTTGGTGGCTCGGGGACCAAACCATAGCAGCCTGCAGTCCGTTGTGCACTGTGACTACACAGGGCCAATCATAGTGCCTCACCTCCACACAGTTGATAGGTCAATGCAGGTTTACGGAAAACTGCAAACCTTTGCCACACATGGAATCATGCAATTGAACAGAAAAAAACATGATAGTGTCGAAATAGGACAGCCAGTTGTCCTCACAAAGCATGACGCCTGGGAAATTGCAACGTCCACCACTGGCGGGAGCTCCAGATTGCCCACCGCAACGGCCTGCGAGTTCATCTTCTTCAGGGATGCTTGAGAGTATTCCTCAGATGCGTTCGTCAAAGGTAACCTGGTGCATATTGCGACACCAAACCTTTACAACCACAACTGTTTTTATGCCATTCTTGGCCAAGACTCCTTGTTTTGTTGATCCTGAATGAAGGAAATCTTGGACAGAAAACCATTGCCCTTAAAGCCGCCTCCCACAATCAGCTCCTTGTCACCTAGCGCAGCCAATGTTACCCATGCCCACAGGCAGTAAACAAGTGGACATATTTTTGATTTTTGATTGAGGTTTTGGCATGCTTGGGAATATTTGGGAATGGTTGCTGCCTCCCAAAGACTCCAGGCATCAGGGAATGCCGGTCAGTCTTATGGCTGTTTCGGGGCTCCTCAAAAGGGTTTTTCACCGTCGATTGTGTTAGATTTCATGCCGTAGCCCGTGGCCCTACTCCACTCGATGTGATCGTAAACTAAGGGCGGAAGCTGCTTCTTATGCAAATTGTAGAACAACGCAGGGGGAACAACCCAATGTGCCAATGTGGATTTGTCTGAACATGAAAAGGCCCGCAGCGCACAAGGCCCAGCCACACAAAAAAAAACAGCCCTGTCCAACCCAGCCTTCACCATAGAACTGGAGTTTTCGCGCGGGCCCCGGACAGCCACAACGGCCTTTCCTTTCAGTGGCCGGCCGGGAGTTCCCAAACATGGTGGGTTGGGGCGGGGTGGACTTGGACAACTTTTTTGGCTGGGACTTCAAGGGAGGGCAAGGGAGACTAGCTGACTCACATTCCTGGAGCCCACCTTGAGAATCCACATACGCTTAGCAACGGGATCCATCAGTGTCCCTTCGCCATTTTCCATTGCCAACCCCTTTTCAATGGTGTATGTATGTATGTCTGTCTGTCTGTCTGTCTGTGTGTGAATGTGAATGTGTATTGTATGTGTGAGTGTATGTCGGTTCTGTTCTGTCCTGTTCGGGTCCGGTCCGGTCCGGTTGTCTGTATGTATGTCTGTCCGTATGTATAGTGAAAAATGTTAATATATGCAAATGTTTGAATATAGTTGATTTCTTCCCGCTTCAAAATAACATTTTTTTGTCCGCACCCATTGCACCACGCTGCAAATATCTCGACATACCATCTGCAGTATCAAAGATCCACATCTTCACCTGCAGTTGCCACTTCCGGGAAGGTGCAGCTTGCATGGCTTGCGGATGCGTTCAGCTACAAGTGCCATGGATGAGCAATGTCCCGGAACATCTCCAAACACCTGGACACGCCCTCTGGAACCATCTTTATATCCCAATGTGCTGCAGTAGGCTGCTTATTGATACGACAAATGCAAGCCCAGGGCCCAAACACCGGAACACCGACATGGAGACCGAGTCAGGAAACAGTAAAAACACGAGTCAGGAAACCTAGGAGGGTATCAAAGCGTGGGAAGGTGACTGATTCGGGAGGACCATCCGGATGCGAGTCAGGAAACCTCAGCGGGAAACCTTTTGGACTGGAGAGATGTAAGGCTGGAAAACTTAAAAAATTGAAGCTATGAGCCAGTGAGAGGACCGGGGAGTCGGGGAGTGAGTCAAACCTTGACGGGCAGAGAGTCAGGAAGAAACGGGCGGATGGAACTCTGTGTCACGAGGTCACATTGCGCGGCCGCTCTCACGAGTGTCACAAATGAGAAAGTCAGGCCACCACATCCGAACTCCATGGCTTTTCAAGCCAATGCCATCTCTTGACAGTCATCCCAATTAATCAATTAAATCTCACTCAAAATTTACGCTCTGCGAGAGTAATCCCAAAAGTCGACTGAGGTGCTCATCAGTCTCAGCCACGCTCACTTCGCTCACATCAGGCTTGCGGCTGGCGGCGAAGGACAATCTGCTCTGGTAGGGAGGACGCAGGAGAAGCTGGCGGCTTCCCATCGTCAGCTCGGCTCCAGCCATGGAACAAAGGCGACAATCTCAACAGTCGTGTCACAGGCCTGAGTGCCCGACCGAAACTCTGGCAGTTGAACTTCAAGCTCAGAGCGAATCTTAAGCCTCAAGGCCGCGTTCACGGTCCAAGAATGGGTGTGCACGGTCAACATGAAGAAGCAAAAGCCGTGGTGACTTAGCAGGCCACATCTCATGCTCAGGCAGTATTGCCAGCTTCTGATCACACCTTGCAGACCAAGCGATTTCACATTGAGCTCTGACACCGAGTCTATTGAGATCGGAACCCAACTTTCTCCGTCAGCCACGACAACCCCATTAGCCGTAGCATAACGGCGTCCCCAAGAATGATCAAAGGCCGTCGATTGCAGCCAAAGGATGACAAAATAAGCAAACTCACTGACGCATTGAGGTCGGTTCCCCACCCCACTGCGAAAACAGACTGTGCAAAACAGGCATATCAACAAGCCGTGTCGCCGTGTCGGAACCCACATGTCAGTAGCAAGGCTAGCTTCTCATGAAGCCTAGGGACAAAAGCTTCCATCCCGAAGTCTTCCAAGCACAGCAAGCCCCAGGTCACTGCATAGAAGTGCTGATAATGCTGATGGCATAGCACCAGTTGGGCACCAGAGCTGTGTTGCTTTTGGGCTTCGACTTGCCCTTCCCTTTCCCATAGGTCAGATTCTGGAGGTTCACTGGAAGGGACGACCGTCTGGGGGTATGTTCCTGCACCGCTGCATGACAACGGCCCCAGATCGAGTTTTGGGCAAGGAGCGCCATGTTCTCCGTCAACCTGTCTTCCCTCATGGAGAGCTGCAGCTTCCATGGGGTGGTCAGCAAGCCAGGGGTCTTGGGAGGTTTCAAAGCTTGGAACTTCATGACCATGGAGGCTGTCTCACCTGCCCCAGCAACTCCTGGAGCAACTCCAGCATCTTGGTCATGGGGAGACTGTGTTTGTGAATGTCCATGGTCAGCGTCTTCTTCTCTGGACACCATTGGGTGTACAGTATAGCAAACTTCCGTCCTCCAACAACACCCTTGAGGCCAAGGCCTTCTTCCAAGCCAGAGACTCCTGTTTCTCCTTGCTCAGTGCCAAGGCTCGGTCCAAGTGCCCCTGAATCATGGCCGTGGAGAGAGCTATGCGACGATGGGGGCTTGAGCAGAGCCTGTCGGACGGATGGTGTGGCGGCGCAAAATGGTCTTGAAAAACAATGCAGAACTTCAAACCAAAAAGAGGGTCTCCAGGAGAAGCAAGCAACACGAAGCAATGCCGAACGCTTTTCTAAGCTGCGAAGCGCACATCGATGGCTGCAGTCATCGAACACGAATCGGAACATGCCACCAAGCTCAATCACAAGAAACCACAAGCGTTCCACTCAAAATCAACCACATCGGTGAAAAAGGATGTTGGTGGCGTGTTCCTCAACTTCAACAATCGGGCTTTACGCCGCTCACGCTGACCTCTTCGCAAGCCAGCGCGGCGGCTCTCACGCTCCTGATCTTCAGGCGTCTCCCGAACACAAATCGTCCCCCATTGGACTTGAATTCAAGAAAGAGCTCGTCCTGCATGTCCTTCGTGAGTCCATCCGCAAACTGGCGCCATGTAGTATGCGCCCATGCCGACAACATCGAAGCCCTCTCGACCAACTGCTTGGCTGCTAAGATGTCCAACATCGTCTGACTGTCTTTCAGCAGTCAGGTGACCAGTCTTCTGAAGATGGTCAAACAACGCGGACTCAGCCAGCAAACGAAGATACAGTTGCTCATCCGCTGCAGTGCTAAGTGAGTTGCCCTCTGCTGCAAGGCTCGACTTGACGACGCGGACGATCTTGCTGCTCCTAAACTCCACTATGTTGGCAATGGCTGGAGACTCCAATGCCTGTGTTGTGGAAAGGAAATGGACCTGCCCTTGCTGTGCTCGAAACGAATCGCTCTTGCCCAAAGAAGCATCAAAAAATGAGATGCAGTATGGCTCATCCGGTAGTGGTCGATGAAGAAGCTGCATCTGACCTTCTTGCGCAAGGCGCTTGAACTCATTCAGCAGATGATTCACATTTCTCGCATGCACCATGGTCGCTCCCAACACTTGTTGCGCAAGTTCACTTACAGCAAACAGTCTCTCAGGAAGGACATACTGGGCGGGCCATCTCAACTGCATGACCAAGCGTCAAAAAGCAGTCTTCTGTGTGTCGTTCAGGAGGTTGTCCGACTTGTCAACAATCATCGGGTCGATCTTCTCAACATACAACTTCATGCAATCTTTTAGCGCTCCATCACGCAAAGAAATCTTGCAAGCAAGGAAATCAATTGCCTCTGCACCAAAAAGCTTCCATTCCTTGATCGACAAGTTTTGATCAATGGAAGACTTCAAGCGCTGAAACTCCGGACGCTTGGGATGTCCTGCCAACAAACCATCATCCACATGAAGAGTACACACTGAGATCGTGGCACCATTGTTGACCTTGACAAAGGTAGCTCTGGCATAGGGGAGTTCTGTCATGCCCGCAGCAAAACACTCTGACAACTCCTTGACATGATGTCCAAGGCGTCTCCCCTTTCCCTTCGTCATAGTGGCCATCCGGCCGGCTCCAAAGAACTTCACTCTCAGCTCCTTCCACTTCTGAGCCAGTCGACAGATCTTCACCAGGGATCTCATTGCCAAACTCATGGGAGGTGGTAGTAGCATCTGAACCAGACCCATCTGACAAAGAAGACTCCGCATCGGAGAATGACATCTTGACAAGCGGTGGTTCAAAGGCTCCCATATCCTCAACAAGGCTCATCACTTCTGGCTCCAGAGTGCTCTCTGACGATGGTTCAGACATGAGCTCGACCTCACTTGACAGGCTGTCACTCGAAGAATTCTCACCTGTCCCAACAGAGGTTGAAGGACCCTATAGACTATCCAAAGAGTGCCTGTAGCACTGAGCTCAACTCCTCCAATGGGCCATACTGTAGCAAGTCCAAGCCAACAGCATGGGTCGTACTCGTCCAAAGGCTTCCATAGTCCGATTCCCAAAGTGGAAACGATCTGCCACCTGGACATGTCTGCTGGGCCAGCCAGACCAGGACAATCAGAAGCATCCTCCTCCACTTCAGACGTCCTGAGCAATGAATTCACTCCACGAAGGCCGATGGGATACAAAGGGCACACTTGGCAGTGATAGGTTGAAGACGGCGTACAAGCGTTAACATTAGCTGGTTTTTCGGCGCGCAACCCGGTGTTTGAGGTGGTGCGCAGGGTGGTGCGCAGCCTGGTGCTTGGAGTGGTGCGCGCGCACCACTCTGCGCACCACTTTGCGCACCGCTTTGCGCACCATTTTGCGCACCACTTCAAACACCGCTCTGAGCTTCTGGTCGGGTTCCATTGGCTTCCGTCCCAGCTTTGAACGCCCAGAATTTAGCCAATTTTTTCACAATTCCACCCGCCCACACACTTTGTTTCTCAATTTTCGTCTTTCCGTTGACTTCCGTTGAACTCCCACTGGGTTCCATCCCGGCCTTTAACGCCCAGAATTTTGACGAGCCAGGGCACACAGTTTTCCTATGTTTTCCTGAATTTATTCAATTTGGAGTCTTTTCTATTGAGTTCCATTGGGTCCGCTGACTTCCGTTGAGTTCCCATTGAGTTCCGCTGAGTTCCGGTTGGGTTCCATGGGCTTCCGTCCCAGCCAGTAAAACGCCCAGAATTTAGCAAATTTCTCCGCTCCTCACGTTGTTTTCCTCAATTTTCTTCGATTTGGAGTCTTTCCGTTGAGTTCCGTTGACTTCCGTTGAGTTTCGTTGAGTTCCCGTTAGGCTCCGTTGAGTTCCAGTTGGGTTCCATGGGCTTCCGTCCCAGCCACTATTTAAAACGCCCAGAATTTAGCCAATTTCACCGCTCCTCGCGTTGTTTTCCTCAAGTTTCTTCGATTTGGAGTCTTTCCGTTGAGTTCCGTTGACTTCCGTTGAGTTCCGTTGACTTCCGTTGAGTTTCGTTGAGTTCCCGTTGGGTTCCGTTCAGTTCTGGTTGGGTTCTATTGGCTTCCGTCCCAGCAGCTATTCACCCCCAGAATTTAACCCTTTTTTGGCCATTTCACCCCTCTACACTGGAATCTTTCCGTTGGGTTCCGCTGACTGTTGGTGGGTTCCGTCAAGTCCCGTTAACTTCCACCAAGTTCCGTTGAGTTCCCATTGGTTTCGGTTGAGTTCCGGTTGGGTTCCATTGGCTTCCGTGCCAGATTTTAACGTCTGAGATTGAGCCAGTTTTTTCACCATGTCACCCCTCCACAAATGCTTTTCGGCTTGGAGCCTGTCCGTTGAGTTCTGTTGACTTTCGTTCGGTTCTGTTGAGTTCCCATTGAGTCCTGTTATAAGATGTTCTAAGTTCCGTTAGTTCCGGTTGGGTTCCAGTGGCCTCCGTCCCAGCTTTGAGCGCGCTGAATTTAACCAGTTTTCGACCAGCTCACACCTCCACACACTGTTTTGCGCGAATTTACTTCGAGAGTTCTACAGACTTCTGACGCCCGAATTATGGGCAGCTTTTTTGGCAAATGCCACTTCGCGCAAACGTATTTTCTCAGATTTCTTCAATTTGGCGCCTTTTAGCGCGCAACTTTTGAATGATCAATCTGACCACCCCCTCGCGCACCACCCTGCGCACCCCTCCGAGCACAACTTTTTGAAGGTCAATCTGATCCCCCCCTGCGCACCACGCTGCGCACCACCTTTTTGAAGGTCAATCTGACCCCCCCCTCAACGAAGCTGTCCACATCCATGTGATCGTTTGCGTTGGGCTGCAAATCAGCATGCGCACTTTGCTCGTTGCCGGCAGTGTGATCTCAAGAATGTGTTGGCTTGGCATGAACGTCATGGTTCCTAAGTCGCCAAGAAGGCAGTGGACACAGACACTGATCACATGATGCTGCCGACTACTGGAATCTTGGCCATTGGTGATTCAGGCTGCAAGACAGCCGTTGGAGGCATTGAGTGGCATCGTCGCTTTCAGGAACAGCTGCAGCGGTGAAGGGATTGAGCTGGAAGACCATTCCTGAGCAGGAGGTGTTCAAGTTTCGAGCAGGAGCACCTATCACTTGATGTAAGCGTATAAGCGTTAACGTTGCGAAGTGTGAAACCTTGAAATTGTGGTGTTCAGGGTGGTGCGCAGGCTGGTGCGCAAGAGGGGAGGTCAAATTGACCCTGCAAAATTGGTGCTTAGAGGGGTGCGCAGCTCCGTCGGCACTGATGAACCCTCAGACGGCTTCAATCTTCCTCCACGACTCAACCGTTCATCATAGAGAGCGGTTGCAGCGTTGTCCGCTCGCGCCCCGGTGCCACTGCTGTTGATTGCCTATAGGCGCTGGATCAGCTGAGGAAGGGCCACGATCATGCGATTCTTCAGGATAGCCACTCTTCTTCACTGCTTCTCTGGCTGCTCCAACAACTGACGCTGCAACTGCTTCTTCTCACCCCGACTCATGTATGGCAAAGCTGCCAATGCATCCTCCATTGTGACCAAGGTAGGGGGTCGATCTCGTCCTCGTGCTGCGGCTCGAGCTTTCTGCAACCTTCTGATCCTTGGCATGGTCAATGTGCTCAAACCTTCCATCGGTCACATTTGAAGCTGAGTCGGTCTCATTGGATGAAGCATATTCGAGCAATAGACTTCCACGCTTGTGCTCATTCTTGACCCTTGATGAACTCTCCAAAGAACAACCACAGGCTGAGCAAAGTCATCCTCTTTGACCGCCTTGGAGCAGGAAGAGCACTGACGAGTGATCGACTTCCTCCCTCCCCTTGGGAGGTTGTTTGGGTCCAGGCATCAGTCCCTGGGAACGATCTGGGACATAGCAATGCTCACGCGACTGGAGAAGCGAGCTGACTTTGGACGAAAGGCGTGCGCTCGCCTTTCTTCCTCATGGATCTTCTGACAACGATGTCTGAAGGCTCGCTCAATGTCTTTGGAAACTTAGGCTCCTCCGGCAGAGAAAAAGCAATCCAAACATTCTCGCTTGGTGAGGGAGGCACGAACCAAAAGTCTCTGAGCCCGAGCTCGATCTGAAAAGTCGTCTGAGGGCCTGAGGGTCCTCACGGGCATAGTAGGCCTTCAAGCGCTTGATCTGACTGAGGTAATTATGCTGCAATCGATTGACCCGGTTGGCGGCGATAGTTCGTGAACTCGCTCTCAACACGCTCAAAGTATTCTTCACTTGTCTCGTGATATCTCATAACTTTCATCGAGCAAATGCCAAACTCTGATCAGGCCATCCTTCTGCACCATCTTCTCGATCGTCATCTGCTCCAGCACATCACGGGCCTCCTTCTTGCACGACAAGTAAATATGAGCATTGCCAGTTCAGGGTCGGCCAACTGATATAGTTGCGGCTGTGCTCTTACAAATCTGCGCCACCCCGATACTTGCGCTCACCGTAGAAGTCCTCAATCTTGACAGAACCCAGCGAAGACTTTGGCCTTTCTGATTCCCTCCATCGGTTCTTCAACAAAGATCGAATCTCACTGGTCCGTGCTGACTCTGACGAATCCGGCTCAAAGGACTCGTCCGGATCTTCATCATCCGGATCACCCCAATCTGCGCCTGGGTCTCCAGGCGCACCACCATGCTTGCGAGAAGGTCCCTGCTGGATCGGATCGAGACCTGGAGGCTGACGGAGTGCCTGACGGTGAATCCGGATCTGGCGGATCAGACCTGCCTGATGGCCCCTTCTTAGAAGGTCGCTGAGTTCCCTTAGCATGCTGAGTCTCATTGGCCTGCTGCTGTCTTGTGTTGGTGGACTGCTGAAATGGTCGACGGGTAGGAGACGGGGAACCATGCCATGAACGATCATGAATATCAGGCTCTGTGGCACCTTTTGGGAAATCAGAACGCCACGAACCCTTCCCTCCAGACTGCCCTCTGCCCTTGCCCTTCTGTCTCGACTTGCCCTTCTCCCACTCTTGACTATTCCACCATTGCCGAAAAGAAGCAAGCAGCTCACTCGTAGGAACGGCCCCAACAAAAGATGAACTGCCCTTCCCAGCTGGTGAAGAGCTCCAAGGATCATATTCAACCCAAGGATTTGACTCCTGAGACTCGCCCTTCCGAGAGCCAGGTGGCGTAGGATGCTGCGACATGGCAAACTGTGGGCTCACCGGCCCAGGCACATCCATTGTCGCGAAGCCGTGCAGCCTATCTTCCCCAAAACAGGGCCACCCAGCCCCTCAGGCTCCGCTGCCAATGTGGCGGTGCAAATGGTCTTGAAAAAACAATGCAAAACCTCAAACCAAAAAGAGGGCCTCCCAGCAGAAGCAAGCAACGCGAAGCAATGCCGAAGGCTTTTCTAAGCTGCGAGGCGCACATCGATGGCTGCAGTCATCGAACACGAATCGGAACACGCCACCAAGCTCAATCACAAGAAACCACAAGCGTTCCACTCAAATCAACCACAGATGGAACATTGGAAAGATTGAACCTATGAGCCACGAGTCAGTTAACATCCAATGGAACGAGTCCGGGAAGGTAGAATGGAAACAAGCAGAATTGAACGGTCAAAATTGAGTCAGAGGAGACGGGTACCGACTGAGGAGGCGAAGTGGCAGTAGAAAAGGGTTCCCCCTTCTTTAATTTGGACCACTCTGCCTCCTGACTCAGTATATACCCATGTCACTACCCATGTCCTCCGAAAAGGGTAATCTTCTGTTTTTTAATCAAAACACTGGGGGGCCCTGGTTGGTCACTAAGAAGTGAAGCCCCAAACCAAGCCGAACAAACCTAATGAAGTGAAGCCCAAAGAAGCCCTTCGGAAGTGAAGCCCAAGCCAAAAAATATCCTAAAGAAGTGAACTTCCACACTAATGCCAACGAAACACTTATATAAGCAATGACACCCTAAACCAAGCCCAAGCAACCCCTAAAGAAGTGCAGCCCTAAACCAAGCCGAACGAAACCCCAAAGAGGGGAAGCCCTAAACCAAGCCCAACAAAAACATCAGAAAAAACCCAGAAGTGAAGCCCTAAACCAAGCAATGAGAAACCCTGGAGTAGTGAGTAGTGAGTAGTGAATCCCAGTCTGTTCTTACTATTGCTCTATTGTTGACAGGTTTCCAGGTTTCCTGACTCTGACAAAAAGGTGCCCCCGACTTGGATGTTGGGGTTTCCTGACTCACGGTTTCCTCGCTCTGGTGCAGGTTTTCAGCTCTGTCTTCTCCCATTGAAATTGCAACAGTCCTGAAGTAAGGAAGAGCACGTTATCAATATATATATATATACCTATATCATCCTATATCTAAGTCTAAGTTGCACAATTAGCGGGCCAGTGAAGAAACTCTACAGTGATCTATTGGTCAATCTGAGGCATCGACCGCGTTGTCGGTTCCACTCGTTATCCTCAGCAAGAAATCTCCCTCTCTCTCTCTCTCAGGCTGGTGAGTCCACTCCATGGGCCCCTTGAGCGCAGGGGATGATAGTTGGTGAAAGGAAGTCTGCCAAAGCGAACATCTACCAAAGGCTGGTGCAGTGTTTTAGATGATAAGAGTTGCGCAATGTCTTCCAGGTAGTCAAGTTGATTCTGCTTCTGCCACTTCTGCCCTGTTTTCGCCCATCCTCCAATCCTGACCCACCAACCCACCCACCCACTTTTCGCTGAACCGCATCCCACCCGTATCTTGGAAAGCTGACCAGGCAAATCCAGGCTGCAGCAAGGGTTCCTTGGGTACGAAGGCCATATGGGTGATCGGCCCTCGATGGGCTTCCCTCACATGATGCATTCTCCGCTTCTCGAGGTCCCAAACCACAAAGTGGCCTCGGATTGGTTGGTGGTTGAACTGCCCGACCCTTAACATATCTTCAGCCCTGGGAAGAATCATCTTTGGATTCTGTATCTCAGGCCAATGTTGTACACAAAACACTGTTGAACCATCAACCACATCAGCCCGTGAACTCGAGGCTTTGCACGGGGGTTTGATTGGGGGACTTGGATGGGAGGTTGCTGAAGGCTCTGCGCTCGAAGAGGTGGCATCAGCATTGTGAATGTCCACATGTTGTGCGATCGCACACGCTACACGGCTTTACGAGCTTCTCACCCCACGCTTCTATCCATCTGGGAGGTCACAACGCATCGTTTCCGCGGCTTGGCCTGTTGGTGCGCCGCTGACGAGGTAGGGCATGGAGGCGTCGTCGGAGCGGAAAGCAATGCAGCTCACGGGGCCCTGTGCCTGCTGCAGCTCGAAGAGTATTCGGTCCTGGCTGCCAGGGAGGACACTCAGAGGAGAGGAAGTGGATGCCAAGGCCCCTGACTGTAAATTACATTTCCGGCAGTAGAAGGGGTTGTCACTAAGTGGAGTGGAGCGTTCTCCCTGCTTGTAAATTACACCGGGAACAAGTCGATTCATTTACCTGTCGGATCCTGTCGGTTTTGGCATGCTGCATATGATTGTCCTCCATACCATCTCACCCCGCAGCGGAACGCGCCAGAGTTGAGCTTCAAAATGATATGCTTTTTATCATCAAAGAACCGGCCAACCGGGAAAGCGAATTCAAAGCCTTTTAAAGCATCATGGGCCGATCCCAAGCCACGATCCATAACAGCCAGCTCTTACAACATACTCACCCTGGACGATGCCGCCTAGCATCCTGCCAACATTTTCTACTATAGTTAATGTATATGTATTTATATGCATATGTATATATATATATTATATGTATATATATATATATTAATGTTACATATTCTAGTGTTTTGCACATGCCAGTTGCTTCCCTTTGTCGTATTAATCCCAGTGGACCTGGCTGAGCCCACATGGCCTCTTTTCCAGTATCCTCTTCCCGGTCTCCTCACGGATGTTCATCAGGCAAATCCGGCCGCTTCGAAAGCCTACGGCCACCACATCCAGTGCTCCACTGGCCTCCATCAACGCAGTAATGCCCACTGCCTGTTCCGGCCTCGGAAGTCAGAGGAGTGGGGTCTGCGACTCGTAATTCATTTTGGCCCACAGCCATTTGCTTCTACTTGATTTGATTCGAAACTGCACGGCGCAGTGGGAAGAACATCTGGCGCGCCTTCTGTCCCCTTAAACCTCAGCCTGCAGTAGACTTTGGGGTCTGACATTTCGCGCTTAAAGGATCTTAAAGGCATGTGTGTTGCTTCAGGTTTCCTGTGTTTGAGCAAATGCATCACCTTGGAATTTGCAGATGATTACCTGACGGCGGGCTTTGTAGGCCACCACTGGGTAGGCCGGAGTATCAAACAATTTTTTGCATCAAAACATATTAATCTATTAAGTCCACCAAAAAACAATCTGCCTTTCAGGAAACCCTCGACATGGGCCTGTATCGGCAACGTTTTTAACTTGATAACTTGACCTGATAATATTTGTTGCACTTTCGGTCTTGTTTGTATGTGCACTGTTGGTATTGCAGGCCTTTGGAGCATTCAATGACTGATCTCCTGGCTTCTGTAGCGGTTTTCTGGCTGCGATATTTTAGCTAAAGAAAAACAGAATCGTTGAAATCCCCCCTTACCCACCCAGAATCCGTTGAAACAAAAGAAACAAAACATATCAGCAAAAGCAACCAGAAGCTGAAAGCCACCAAAAGCCAAGAAGCCAAGCCAAAAGCAACCACAAAACAAAAAGCATCACAAATCAACCCAATTTCAACAAAGGCCAAAGTAGCCACCAGGAAAAACACATTGCCCCTAATACAGCCATTCCAAATCGCACTTTCGATTGGCGCACAAATGCCTAAGGTAGCCTCATCTATTCTTGGGTACCAAACGGCTAAGTGTGGGAATGCATAGTTCTCACTTCAATTGTAGTCGCCGGTGGTACCGCAGCGGGTCTGAACGTTCAACCGGGGGTCTGCGGAAAAAGCAAGCTTTCTGATTCTTAGCATTTCAGTCTATAAGGATACTATGTGAAGCTTCCGTGGGAGGGCGCAGCGCTCCCCCATTAGCACACAGCATGCATTGACTTGAAAGCAAAGTGCTAGGGGACCACAGCACATCGATGATGGAACCACAGCCAAGAAGAGACCAGGGATTGGAGACCAGGGGGGCCAGTGGATGAGCGGAACAACCACGGGACCGAATCCTATTTTTGCGGTTGATATTAATTTGTTCCTTGATGCGCATCATTTTCTGAGAGGTATCACCACACAAAAAGGGGCATCACTTGACAAACGCAGTCCTTCGTCGTTCTGAAGCCTCGGGCCGCATGATATGACTTGAATGAATCTATCTGCCAAGTTCACCTCTGACCAAGTCAACATCATCAAACAAAGTCTTTGGGTCGGTCGGGTGATGATATGGAAACAACAATGGGTTATTAAACAGCTCGCCGTCTTAGCGACAGTTTTAGCAAAAAAGTATTCATGGATCTTAGTGGTGCTCATTTGCCAACCCAAAGCACCCCAATTCAGCCGGTGAAATCTCCAACTTTTAGGCGGGCCACTTGTGGCACTTGAAGCTGTGGATCAACTCTGCGCTTCGAAGGTTCCACAACTGCAAATTCCCCTCGCTGCCGGCCACTAGGACCTAAACACCGAAGACCAAATCAATCGGTGTGATGAGGCACTTGGGTCGAGACAAAGTGCCAACAACTTAATATTGATCTGAAAGAAAGGCAGTTCTTATGCCGTCCCACCTTGTTCAAGTAGGTGGGCGGATGCCGGATGCATGTCACCTCCCCAAAGTCCTTCGAGACGGAACATGCAAATGCAGGCGCTTGGATATGCTGAGCTTCGAGAACTGGGGATGCACTATGACAGAAGTCTAGTGGGAGATTGTCCTTTGAGCAGGCCTATGTCCCTTACTATGTACTGTCGGTGATTCAAGACTTTAGATGTCCACCATTTTCTCCGTCTCAGAATGGCTTTGTAAATTTTGTGGTTCTTTCTGTCAAGGACCGCAACAAACTCCATGGGTGGATCTTTCCCACCGTTGGAACACCTCCGAGCAGTTGAGCTTCATGTTCCAAACGCCCAGTGCTGGGCATCCTGGGCACATGTTCTCCCATTCTCCTGACCCACGTTGAGGCGGCTGAGTGGACCGAGGACGCACTTTCCCTCGCGGGATTCCAAAAGAGTCTCTGCCTCAAAACGTGCTCCGGGATGGTGCCAGTGGCCCCAAAAAACTGGCTTGAAACTAGCGGAAACTATATAGTTACTTAGATAGTGGGCAATATGATGGAATATTATATATATATGTATATATATATATGTATAGCAAGCATTCTGAAGTGTTGGGCCAGGGATTTGTTTGGGGATTTAGTATCTTTCCATCAGTCTGTTGCGGGGCTGCGAACTCCTGCTTTTTGGTACTGGGCATGAAGATAGGTCTTGCTGTGCAGACTTCTGGCAGTGCGTTGCAAACTCTTTTAAGAACCTTGTGCTTTTCACTAGTCTTATCCTCCATGATTTATGATGGTCTGTAAAACGTAAGATTCCAAACCTCTTTTTGACACAACGGTGCCTCCAGATTTCCGACCTCTGACAGTTGCCACACGATCCTCAGTTGGAAATGAACCTTGCCCAAAGGAGGCCATGAAAATGAATCCCACCCGGCGATCGTTTCAACTCTCCCTGGATCAAAGAAACCTGAAAGGGTGGGGAACAACTTGTAGAGCAGAGGAACAAAACGAACATGATCTTCACTTGTCCACCTTCCATTCCTTTCATCTTCTCTTCGCTTCTGTGTTGAAGAAAAGGAGTTTCAGTGTCATTCTGCTCAGCCCTGCCGGTCTTCAAATAAAGTAGACTTCAGATTCTGCCTTCAGCAGCAACCGCCCAAAATACCCACCGACCTGGTCCCATTTTTTCGAGTGACTAATGCCCAAATGACCCCCAAAGGTTTTACCACCCAACTGAGGTGATTCTGCCGTCCAGTCAGGAGATACTTGACTTGTGCATCACCTTTTAGAAATGCCCGTAGTTCTTATTGAACACGTATTTGTGTTGTGCAAACGTGCATTAAAGACATGGTGTAAGAACATGTTCGCATAGAAGAGGCCAGGTTGCTTTGGAAAGCATGGATGTTCAGTTCCGATTGTTTCCGCTTTGAGTGATGAAGGTTCAGTTTGTCTCGCCAAGGATCAACTCCTTTCCCGCGGCTGAGAGCAAGTAGCTGGAACCCACCGCGCAAAGCACCGTGGCGGCTGTGTGATGCCCACGAAAGCGACCCAATTCGGTCAACTTGTGCCACACCACGACGTCCTGACGTGCGTCAGGTCGCGGCTGCGAAACCATTCGCACGCGTTCACCACCCTATTGAATAGGAGAGAAAACAGCTAGAAAACTCTGGGAATGGCCTGACACTACAGACGGAAAGTCAATAATTGCCTTTCAACATATATATATATATAACACAATTACACACACATTACATAGATTTCGCCACCGTAGACCCCAAACAGTTTGTGTTTTTCAAAAACGGAACACCCTGCAAATAGAGCTTGCGACGTCCAGAGCTGGGAGACAAATGATGGCACGGCAGAGGCGGCCACAGCAATCCAGAGCTTGCAAACAAATGTAAACACAGGGAGACAAATGTAAAGGATTGCAAGCGATGACGGAAAGCGATGAATATCGCTCTGAATTTCTCCCCGGTAGGTTTTGCTGGGGGGGGGTTTGGGGGGGGTGACAGTTTCGAGATTTTGATTTGCAGACTTTTGGGTGTCTTGAGGCAGTATGTTGAAGTTAACGAAACACTGTAAAACACAGCAAAAAATAAGACTTTTTGACATCATTAATGCAATGTTTTCTGACAAACTGGGCCCCGACTTTCCACAAGGGCATCGGATACAAAAATGACAGAGAACATGCTAAAAAAAATCGGGAGCATTCCACAGCACCACTTGCATCATTACGAGGTGCATGGGAGGCACAAAGAGCACAAAAGAGACGGAAACAAAGCAAATCAACTTAAGATGAGAATTTTCTTGAAACCAAGGCCCACAAGAAGACAAAAAGAGCACAGAAGAGACAGAAACAAAGCAAACCAACTTAAGATGAGAGTTGTTTGAAGCCAAGGCCCACAAGAAGACAGAAAGAGCACAGAAGAGACAGAAGCAAAGCAAATCAACTTAAGATGAGAGTTTTTTGGCACCAAGGCCCACAAGAAGACAGAAAGAGCACAGAAGAGACAGAAACAAAGCACATCAACTTAAGCTGAGAGTTTTTGGACACCAAGCCCCACAAGAAGACAGAAAGAGCACAGAAGAGACAGAAGCAAAGCAAATCAACTTAAGATGAGAGTTTTTTGACACCAAGGCCCACAAGAAGACAGAAAGAGCACAGAAGAGATAGAAGCAAAGCCAATCAACTTAAGATGAGAGTTTTTTGACACCAAGG